CAGACATCCATGAATGCAAGAGCAGACAGGTAGATGATGGTTTTCCAACTATAATGAAGGCTGATCTGCAGCAATGTTTGTGTTTTATCCCTCAGCAGACTCCTGATCATGCCTTGCCCCTGTGATCTGTCTTCATGATCCTCCAAAACACAGTGGTAACCTTGAAAATACAGCACTACACAGTTACCTTTGTTGTGCTTGTTGTATTGGAACAGAAAATGATCTCGTATGTTCCTACTAATAATGTGTGCTGGGAAGCAAATGTCACCTGCCCCGATCACCTGGGCAGGTGAGGTTTGTTTCAGGGTTTGCCCTAGCAATAATAAGATTCCGCAGTACAAACAAAGCCATTGTAAAGGAATAACCCTTGGTTCCTCTTGGGGTGTGGCTGAAGAGGTTGCAGGCTCCAGCTGTGTCCTCTGAGCCCCTGCCAGAGGCCACCAAGGAATATTGCTTCTCAGGTGCTGTATTTTGCAAATCCCTTGGGTTTTGTATGTCACCTCTGTTAAAAGGCCAGGCTGTAAGCAGGGGATGGTCTGTGCACCCACCCCTTCACCACAGAGGGGTGGGATGTGACCACAGCCTTTCTGCTTTCCACAAGTTAGATTGTGTGATGGCATCATAGCCTGAGGCTGAGGGAAGAATTGCCCTCATCCTGTGCCAGGAAGAAATGTCTGGCTTGGCTGCTAGTGAGGAAAACAGGTTTTGGCAAAGGCACTTGCTTAGCAGGGTTCTGCCTGTACTGGGCATTAGGCAAGTCAGTGGCAGAAAGCAGGAGCAGGTTTCGTGGTGGTGGGGAGGGGAAAAAGGCAGCAGCTCATGGGAACATGTGCATGCTGTGGGCAGATTCAAGATCTTCCACTTGACCTTGGCTGAACTTCCTGAAGCTTGTTTGGGCCCAGTCCTCAAGCCTGTCCATGTCCCTTTGGATGGCATCTCTTCCTTCTGGTAAATCAACTGTACCACACTCAGCTTGGTGTCATGTGCAGACTTGCTGAGGGTGCGCTTGATCCTGCTGTCATTGAAGAGAGAGTAACAAGTCTGTTACGTGTTACCAATAGTTTTGGTCCCAGTAGACCCTTGAGGGTCCACTTACTGCTGGTTTGTTTCCACCCTTCTAGCCATTTCCTTATCCATCAAACCCATATATCTCCAATTTAGCAGGCAGAATGTTGGGAGAGACTGTTAAAGACCTTCCAGAAGTCCAGGTAGATGACATCTGTAGCTCATCCCTTGTCCACTAATGCAGTCACTCTGTCATCCAAGGCCACTAGATCAGTCTGGTACTGTTTGCCCTTGGAGAAGCTGCAGCTCATGTTGGCTGTCCTTAACCACCTCTCTGTCTTCCTTATGTTTTGATGTATCTTCCTGGATGATCTATACCATGATCTTACCAGGCACAGAGGTAAGGCTGACAGGTTGGTAGCTCCTACACTCCTCATCACCTTTTTTAAAAAACAGATGTGATACTCCATTTTCTCCAGTCACTGGGGACTTTGCCTGACTGCTGTGACTTTTGAAATATGATGAGAGAGTGGCTGCATAATTGAGAAATTGTCACCTCAATGCCTGTGTTAAGAAAACATCCCTGTCCAACCATCCAGGAGGCACCTGGGCAGTGACACTCACAGCACCTGGGTTGGGAGCAAGGTGTCCTCTGGAGTCTCCCACCCACAGTGCCAGTATAGGATTTGGGACTCATGCACCAGTAGGGAGCTAGCCGGATTGCACAGCTGCACGGCAGCTTTTGTTTTCTATGGCATTGCTCAATACTGAGAAATTATAAATGGGCCTGACTTGGCTTGGGCTGGCAGGCAGAATAATGTTTTTTCAGAGAGGATTTAGCTCTAATCCTTCAAATAATGTGTCTCATAATTTCTGATGTCATTCAGAAAGCAGCTCAGTACTCAGCTGTGATGATGCATTGAAAGACTTGCCTTCTCTTCTGTTACTGTGCTGGTTTTACAGAGAATGATCACCTTTCACCTCCACCATCACCTGCTCCTAGCAATCCATTACAGGTTGTACCTTTCTGCAGTGAAACCAAGGTTACCTCAACCAGTGAGGTTGTATCATTGTGTTGGGATGATGAACTGATTATGGATGCAGAGGTTCCATCTTTTATAGAGCAGTTTTCAAAGTAATTCCCTTTGTAGATCAAACAAATTATCTGTTAAAGATAAAGCTGCCATTAAATGCAGGCCAGGCCTCAAGTACTACAACCTTAGGTCCATCTGATGATGATGATTTATTTGGCATCCTGAGAGAACAGAATCTACAGCACAACTGGAATCAAACTGAGCAAGGTCTTGTCAGGTAAGAAAGTTTGGGCACTCATGTCATCTTCCCCTTTCCAGCTTACAGCTCTACAGCTTAGTGTTAAATAAATGGAAGATCATCTCTTGTCAGTCCAACGCAGAGTTAAAGGTGACTTCTAAGAAACTATTGAACCAACACTGCCTGCCTGGCTCCAGTGCTTGAGTTAGATTTCACTGCCATTTGGTCCAAGAAATGTGGCTTGGCCAGGACTGTACTCCTGAGGGCAAAGAGGCAGGTAAGAGTGATGGCAAAGTGTCCATTGATACCAAATGATCTTGCTGAAAACCTGTATTTTCTGAAGCAGGTGTTAGGGACCTAAGATGTAATCCATGTGCCCTGTGGCTAAGGAGAGGTGACTAGCTGGAGCCCTAGTTTTGATTCTTCTTGACTGAAAGATCATTTACTCCAGCAGTGACCTAAGTTTTTCCATTTAGAAAAAAAAATGGTGGTGGCTGGACTTGGTGAGTTTCCGCAGCCATCTTTCCACAAGAGAAGGAGAGCTGCTGCCCATCTTTCTAGGTGAGGCCTTCACCAGCATGTCTTCCCTGTGGTGGCATGTGCCCAGCTCAGCCCTTGCCTAGCTGGAGAAATCCTTCAGCATGGAGCTGTCCTGCCCCCCCCGCCCCCCCCGCCCCCGGAACAGCAGAGCCTTTTGTAAAGAAGAGTTGAGCTTAGGTAGATTTCTAGATTAAAAGTGGCTTTTTGTAAAAAAACCTAAATGTTTAGGCAAGTTTGTCAAAGTTCAGTTTCAGAAATACCAGACAAAATAGCCTCTGTTCTGACAACATTTTATTGTTTCATTTTTATATTATTTTCTAGTTTGCAAGTGTTTGTCACCCACATAACAAATGGTGTTTGCTGTGCTAGATCCCTTCTGTATCATGCTTGCTTTCCCTCAGTCTAGATGTGTTTGTTTAAGACATAAAGATTTACAATATGACTGGAACTAACTGCTCCTGATTCCCACAATTGTTTCTGTCTTTTTAGCCTAAGTTGCTTGGGACATCCACCACACTCTATAGACCTTCTGTTGTGTAACTTAGTTGAGACAAAGCAAAAATTTCCATGAAGCCTTTGTCCTGCTGGAGGTGGGGGTCCTTATTCCTGGGCAATGCTCAGCTTTTCCAGGGGAAAAGATTAACAACATAGTCAGCTGTCACAAATACCTGCTCCAAATTATGTGATGCCAGAAAAATGAAGTAGGGAAATTCTCCACTTTTTGTTCTAGTGGGCTCTGATGTTCCAAACACACTGGACCTGTTTCTACCCATGCCAGATGCTGGTGCAAGGAGGAGATCTACTACATTCCCTGATGAGAAATCAGCAAGCCCTGGTTCTAATTCTGCAGCTGAAAGTGCAGCTAAGCCATGCACAGCCAGTGTTTTCCCAGCCACATCCCTCTGGCTGATGTGATGTTTGCAAAGACCAGCTGGCAGTAGCACACAGTAAGTGCTCCTGCAGAAAGTTACAGTACTGCAAGGACAGGTTACCATTACATCAGACCCCATGCACAGGGCAGGGTACTGAAGAACAATGCTTGCTTCCCACATAGGAACATGCTACTGTTTGGATTTTACTACTGGAAACTTAATTTATCCCTTTTCAAAATAAAACAGAGATGATTGGTTAAACTAGTTGTCCTATATAACACACACTGTGTTCCTCTGCTTGTTATTGTTTGCAAGTCCTGCTCTAATTTTAGTCTGAAAGAACCACATTTTTAACCTCATATTTATACACATCTTCTTGCCTATAGCCTGAACTTTTAGGATTTGTGTAATATTCAGAGTGGGGCAAAATACCCTCCCCTTGGAGTGCATTGAGGTAGCACCTAATGTAGTTCTTTCACACTTACCAACTGAGTTCATGTTAATTTTTAAACAGGTAGAGAGGCTGTTTGCACTTCAGGAAGTGGTCAGGATGGATGGAGTTTACATTGCAATAAATCAAATAATGTTAAGCAAATGTTCAAAATAAAGCACCAGCAATTAGAACTGCATTCCCATGTTGAACATCCCCAATGTTAGCTTTGTTTGAACTGTGCCCACTGCTGCATCTACTGGAGCTGTTCCAGTGAGGAGCCACCCAGGCTCTCACTGTGCTGACATGCTATAGTCATGGGGAGCAGGCAGGAACTAAATGCTTTGCTTGGCACTCAGTGTTCAGTGCTGTGTGACCTGCACAGACCCAACAGCCAGGCTGCTTCTGCAGATCTCAGACCCACACCAGGAACCTGCACAGCAGTCCAGACAGATTTCAAGAAGCTCTGGCCAGAGTAGAAGCTTCCTGCAGATAGAACAGGTACTAAAATCCTGCATGTACAGGTCACTGTGAGAGCTGGCCCCTCACAGGAAAGGCTGCCAAGGAAAAAGCTTTCCCTTATCTATGCAAACATGTCTCAGCATCAGGACCTGGGTAATGCGAGAAGCGCCTAGAATAAAAATAGAAAGCATCTCATTGCCTTATTAACAGTTTCAGTAGTCCACTTAAAGCTCAAGCTGCAAGAAGCTCTCAGTTCCCCAGCCCTCCCCAGAAAGAGACTTTTCCTTGCTTATGGAGAAGAGAGGTCCCTGGAGCACAGAGACACATACTACCTGTCCTCACTGCAGCAGGTTTCAGATGAGAGTTGCTCAGAAGGGATCAGCACTGTTGAACACCACTCACTTTAGACTAGATGCAAGAAGTTTTGAAGCCTTTATTTAGTAGCAATTAAATTATTCAATTAACACTAACCTCCAGACAGCAGTTAAAATACTGTACAAAGAGCTGCTTGCCCTCTAGAAGCTCTGTACACAGTTCAGTATAAACAGACTAAGATTGAATGCACCCCACTGAAAAGGGGTAAAGCAGCTGTGCACAGGAGGCCTCACTGAGGTGCTGTACTACCTTTGAAATGCACAAGACTTCCTTGCAGGGAGTTTGCACAGTACAGACACAGTCCTGTCCCCCTGCCATGTTCCACCAGGTCATTCCTGGACTGATTAGGTTCTTGCAGTGGTGCTGGGCACCGGAACTTCTAGTGCATGAAACAGATTATTTTAAAACCTGTTACTAGTGTGCAGTTCAAATCAAATCTGTAGATATTTAAATGGCTCTTAATTCCTTAAATCATAAGTTTGGTAGCAAAACAGGAGAGCAAAATTCAAAACACACTGCACAAAACATTGAATAAATAACCTCTGAGTAATGTTACCAGCTTAAACAACTGCATTACTGCTCCAGAGATGGGAACACTTCTGGAATCTCCTGAGCAGAGCTCAGGCTTCAAGGGAATTACTTTGTAAAAGAAAAGTCACTTTATGAAAAATTACATCTTTACAGAAGTGACACCCTTTTCTTCATTTAAGATTCGAATATTGCAATTACTTTGTGTGCTTTTTAAACATTCCCATGTCACAATAAATAAAACCAGTTTTACTTGTGCCAATGTTATCTACAAAATAAAGTATTCACAGAACAGCTGAAGGTGTTCTATTCCTCATACACCACAACCTAATATAGGTGTACTCAGGCAGCTTGAAACCACAGCAACTTTGTCCATGCAGGACCCACCATCATCCAGAAAAGTTATTCCTCTACCTTTAGGACTGCAGATCATGTACCACCAGATTTATTGCAGAGATGCTTATTATTCTGTTTGATAACATGTCAGTATTTTCAGGAGATAAGTAGAACAAGGGAAAACATTAAAACAGATTAAGACTTATTTGTATCAGTCAGAGGCTCCTTACTGCATTTTAATAAATATCAGGCAAATTAAAGTAGTTTCTGTCCCAGTAGTTGCCAGAGTAAAGCCAGTCCTGTGTACCAGTGTGGGGATTGGGGCCTTGGTGGAACCATCTGCAAGGAAACACACAGCATGTTAGTGAAGTTATTAAGACTCACTTGGCAAGTTTAGAACAACTTTGCTGCATCTTCAGCAGATGGTATAAAATACACAGCATAAAATAATTGTTGCAGGAGTCCTCCTAGTTTTAAATTTGTAAGTGAGTGAGTTTAAAGTCATCTTCAGTTACTACCTTTCCCCATTTGCAACACTGCTTAAACATCTCTGAGATGGAATTGCTGACACCAGTGTTTTGCCATTTGAAGCTGCCAAGATTGCTGCATAAAAAAGGACAGATACAGCTTTGTTTCAAAGCAGTTTTGAAAAACCATTCTGGCATGCACAAGCAGTAACAGTTTTTGCAAGACATGTAAACACCACAAGCACTGCAGTCCTGAAAACAAATATTACATCCCTCGATCTAGAGTACCCCTTGCTTTGTTAAAGCCTTTTTTTGTAATGCACTTTATCATAGAATTGTAGAGTGACTTGGATTGGAAAGCGCCTTAAAAACCATCACCTTCTTTGACCTTTTCTGGTTAACAAACGTGTAGAAGCCCTTTGCATGCTTTGCCAAGTTCCAGCTTTGCCTTGGCCTTCCTTACCCCATCCCTATATAACTCATATCTCTGTTCTTCACAGATGACTCTTCCTTGTTTCCACTGCCTGAGCATTAGCTTCCTTCTCTTTGGTTTGACCAGCAGGTAACTGGGAACAAGCATGCCAGCTACCCTCAGTGAGGATGAAACATCACCCCCAGGCTGCAGGAAGAGTTCTGGATTATTACAAGTTAACTCTATTGTGTTACACTGTTGGCAGCAGGAGACTCAATCTGAATGCCCAGAAAGCTGATTCCATCTGCACGGAGCTACTTGCAAGCATTTACTAAGCTTGTTATTAACAGAAACACTGATGCTGAGCAGCAGCTTTCTTTCCTTTCTTCTCTCCTCCTGCTTAATCTGGAGGCACCATATAGCACACAGTGAATGCCACTTTATGTTTGACCCAGTCACTCCATCTTGTGCCTCAACAATGTACAGTACCAAACCTCAAGCATTTCAGCTTCCTTTTGTATTTTGCCAAGCCACATTTATGGCATGAGCCAGCTTGGTAGAAGCTGTTTCCGTGGTAATGTTCTCCACAGCTTCCTTTCACCTCCTCACTGACCGCAGAAGCCAGTTGTTCCTTTCTTTTACTTACTTCAGTAAATGATCTGTGTGCAAGGCAGCCTGTTTAACTCTGCTCATCCCTTCTCCAGCACCATAATGTTTCAGAAGAGAAAAAGCACATTTGAACCAAATCTGACTTGATCTCTTTAAAAGGCAAAAGCCTAAAAGCCACCAGTACTGCAGGGTTATGTTGCAAAGCAGGGCAGCTAACAGGCAAGTCTTGCTTGGCTCAAAGGACTTGAGAGAGCTGTGCTGGAAGAAACGCCTTGTGCTGCCTTCCCAGGAACAGGTGAACACTCCAGTGGTTTTCCTGCTGCTCTGGTTAGCTTAACTGAAGTCAACAGAAGTCATTCACCCCTAGTACTGTTCACAGCTCACTCCTGCTTCTCCTCCCACAGGAGGAGTCAGCTATCCCTAAATAAGAGGTGTCTTGATCAGCTTAGGTGTCCAGTTCACTGGTGACAGCAGCTCATTCCAGAGCTAAAGCCAAACATTTGCCGTGAGACAGGGCTATAAGCACAGTGACCTCACCTCTCAGATTAAGAAATTCTACCACCCCACAGCTCATTAGTGTGTCCTCAACACTTGTACAGGTCAGGACAGAGTGTCCCTCCTCCAGTGTCCACCTACTTCAATAGGAAGGGGAAAGGCAGTGGGAAGAACTAAGTCTGAGAGACATGTAAGACCTAAACCAGTCAGTGATGTGGGGAAGATGGGACAGACTTCATCAGAAGTATTCAGAACTGAATTAAATATTTTTACTCAAGACTAAAGATTACTGGTCAGCATTTAAAGTATTAAGTGTTCGACATTAATCACCTCTTGAGAAACACCAAGACCTCACTTGTAAAGTGGATTCAGAATAATAAAATCACATATTAAAAAAAAAATCACTGGGCACTTTGGAGAACTGTATTAGGAAGGAGGAATTCTACTAGACAAAGCAGGAAACCTGTTTTTCTGTGGCAAAGAAATGGCAGCAGTTTAGATCTGAGCTCATAATGCACTGCAGAGTAAGACCTACAGATGACCTGGGAACAGGTAGGAGAGTTCTTTTTCACAGCATGCACTTTTCACCCCATAGCATAACACTCCCTAAAGTTAGGGAGCCACACGTGGCATTCCTAGTAAAGAGGTCAGACACCAGGAATTTTCTGGAAAAACATCCTGGAAAACAAAGAGTTTTAAAGGATATCCCAGATTCGTGCTGAACAGGTTTACACAATCTGCACAACAGCAGTTGCAGAACCTCATGAATGGCATCTGTGCTAATTATATAACCCAAAAACCACAGCTCCATGGGAATTCCCCAATTTCCAGCCTCAGGTGCTTTGAGCTATATTTAAGCTACTTCAGGCACCCGGAAGAATACTATGTAACTATCCCAGGTTTGAAAACACCTGGTGAGAGCTAGAAACACTCTGAATTCAGGAACGTAAGTGAAAGGTGCAAGGCTGTCCAGCACTTAGAAGCTTTACAAAGGTGTTATTCTCCATCAGTCTCTATGCAAACAAACCCAAACACTTCAGGAGAGCAGGCATAGGAAAAATACAAAGGCAGACATGTCCAAACCTGGGATTTTGGGATGATGGGTGACTTCATTTAAAAAAAAAAAAAAAAAAAAATTAATTTTTGTTACAAACACTTTAAAGATATTTAATCCAGAGTGTCTGACTGTATCAATAATAGAGAAGAGAGGAACTTTGCTTACTTCAAGTTTAGCACTACTGTTGTTTTTTCTGAGAAGATAATGCCAACTCACTACTATGCTTTCATAAGTCTATTAGACTTTGTCTGGTCAAACTTGATTCATCTGGTCAGGTGTTCACAGTTTCTTCTTAGCTTGCATGTAAGAGCTCCCAGCTGACTCCTCGTAGTTTAAAGAAAACCCTAAAAAAATCCCCAAAACATACTGGCAGGTCCCATGTATGCTAACTTCTCCCTTAGCTCCTCTTTTGTAGTTAAGGGTGCCCTCCCTAAGAAGGCAGGGTCTTGGATAACTGGGTGATAAACTTTGAGAACACAGCATTGTCAGCACAGAGCCACAGGGCTGGCTGAGAACTCACGGGCAAGCTCACACGTTGGGAGCATTTCCTCTTCTCTTTGGCCAGGCACGCAAATTTGAGGTAATTCTAAACAAACCAAACAGTCCTTACCAGGAGCCGTCAGAGGCAACATCTTTGTCATGTCAGAACGAAGCAGTGCTCAGAGAAGACAACAGTTTGTGTTTGCACATGGGTGTGCACACAGTGAGAAAAGGAACCAGAGCAAGCCTGGCGCTTCCCTCTGGAAGCGCTACATCCCGCTGGGACAGAGTCTGCAAACACAACAGCAGCACTGCAGAGCTGATGCTGTCTGTCTGCTCTTCACGCTGACACAACACTCAGTGCATGCCACCAGTGGAGACTGTCACCTAACTTGAGCGTTCAAAGCCTTTATGTAACTACACACACAGAGAGGCAAGGGCACCAACCTCGTCTTCCAGTCTTCCTCTGACTTTGAACGATTTTTGCGGGCAGTCCTCTGTTTTTCTTCTAGCCTCTTCTTTTCTTCACTAGCCAGATCTTGAAGGAATAAAAATACAAAAAAATACAGAAGATGTTAAAGTATAATATATAAGACAAGGACATTGACCTTAATCTCACCCAGAAAATTAAGGGTAGTAGTAGAAAATGTCCATTTTAAAAGCCTTGTATGGAACACTGAAGGTTACTGGTTTAGTCTAAGAGCAAAGCCAGGCCAGCTGTGGCACAGGATCAGCCAGTGGCATCCTAGTATTTAAGACTGCTAAATATATATTTATCCATGGCCTGAGGACTTTGGAAATGTGTTTGCATGACAGCAGATGTGAGCTAAGGGAGGTGGCATATGTAGAATTTATTCTAGTAGGGAAACAGAAGATACAATCAATTTATTTCAGAAATCTGGCCACTTGCTTTTTGTTAGTTTTTGGTTAAGTTGCTACTAGTGTCTAGTTCCTCATCACTAGATGTTTGGAATGCTTATTTCCAGATCACAAAGAATTGTCTCTCTGCAGCATCCCAAACAAGCAGAACAATTGCTTCTCTTTGCCAGAAAGGATGATCAGAAGGTCTGAGGAGTAAGTCAGACTCAGAAGCAGATTAGATAAAAGTCAATCTCACTTTCCTGAATCCTCTAAAAACATTTCATACATAAGTCTTCCAAGAATGATTTTCTTAACTATTTCTATCAGCCATTCCCTGTCAGCTGCTAACCCACTGTGTATTACTAACTGCAATACAAACTTCATGCTGCTAGTGTATCATGAAGAAATATGGTCTGTTGCTAACAGCATAGTTATTTGCTCTTTAAATTTACACAGACAAATTACTGGGGATGCTCTGAACCAAATATATCCATCTTCCTGGCCACAAAACAGTTGTACAGGCAGGAGAGAGTGGTTGTGGGAATTCACTGATCTGTTTTAAAAGCCTCAAAGAAATGGTTATCAGCTCCTGAGTAAAAAGAAATAAAACTGCACAACTGCACTGTGTTACACCATGACACTGTTTTTTTATTGCTAGATCTCAGACTGCTTACCAGAAGTCTCACAGTTTTTGCCCTGTTATACAGCTGAAACCAAATCAGGTTTTCATGACTTACCCCAGTCAGTTAGCAAGCCAGAGAAAACAAGAGCCCCCATACTGTTAGTCCACGAAGCTCACCATCCTGCTTTAATATTAATCTAAAGCACACTACTGCTATTCACTGGAAGTCTCATCATGTATTTCTAATTCACTATTCTAGGACAGCAGAAGTGTTCAACTCCTAGTGAAGCATAATTTTGCATCAAGTGTATTTTTTGGCATTGCAGTTTCACTTTAATAGTTTTGACTGCATTTCTCAGAACTGGCACAACAAAACACTTCCTCTGCATCAGGCTGATGGAAACAGACAAACTGAAAAGTTCACGAGTATTTCCTTAAGACTGTGCAGATATTGTTTATCAACACTGCTTTGGTCACCAGTCTAAACCACAGCAGCAGATATGGGTGACTATGAAGAAGATTTCCTCCATCCCAACCATCCCCTGTACAGGTGGGTGACACCAGCAGCTCAACACAGCCTGCAGAAGGTTGTGTAGAGTTACTGCCTGGCATAATGGAGGAATGCATGGGGAGCTACTTCCTCTAGCTGTTCACCTAACAACTTTTTTTCCAGTCCCTCAGTTTTAAGAAAAAAATAAAACCACCTTTGCCCATAACTGAAGTTACCTATTTCTCCATTTTCCATAGCTCTGATATCTGGTCGTAGCCGGCAGTCAGTTTTGGGAATGACACTCTCCATTTCTTTGTCCAACTCATTCAAAGCCATAGCAAAGCTTGTAAAATTATACATCTGAAATTCAGAGACAAAGACTAAAGGTGACTTCATGACACCTCTAGCTACGGTGTTAATACAAAAGAAAACTGCTGTCTAAAAACAAACATCCAAGTGCGTTTGTATTACTTAATCAGTCAACATAGGATTGCTCAAGGTACCAGCAAAACAGCACTATCAGGCAGTGTAGGTGATCCTTGCTGTTTCTGTTTAAGGAGGCCAGCATCCAATTACTCAGTGCACTATTTCTCTCTTATCTTCTTTTTCCAGTCCTTCTGGTATTTTCTCTATCTCTGTAGAGAGATTTCCCCCTTGATTAATGCAGTGAGGGCATCCTTTCTGTACCAATTCTTTGCCTTCTCAGTTGCACATAATACCCTTGTATTCTGCCTAGTGGTTACCCAGCTTCACAGCCCTTCCCACACGAACTTGTGCCATGCAGGTCTGTCCTTGGAAATGTCTGGCCTCTAAAAAGGCCCTTCAGTGAGATTTCTTACAAGGCTGGTGCCTCAGTGGGGGAAGCAGGGTAGAGAGAAGAGGTGGGGAAAGGCCCCATGCCACTATCTACATGAAGCATCCAATTTTCCAGAGAAATTCCATGAATCCTAGATTGATCCCTGTGGCAGTTATCCTTCCAACCCCACATTAGGAAGTCACAGTTGTGGTGGGGAGCCTTGTTGCAATAAACAGGCAAATCCAGACTGGCTAATGACAAAGACAACAAATGGATGTGCTTTGTGTAAACCATACAGAGTAACAGCATAGCACACACTTTCAATAAGGAGAAGCATAGCTGACCTGTGCTGAATTTGGAGGTCTTGGAGTTATCTTCCATAGCAAAACACTTCCAGGAATAACATACACACTCTCAGAGTCAGGCAACGGCATCTCATCCGATTCCTCAGTATTGCTCACCTAAAGGCAGCACACAAAGAAAAGAGTGGTTCTTTGAAGTCGTGAGCCATTTACACCCAATCATTCCAATACTGGCACTTACAGAAAATTATTTCCTTGACTAAAGGTGAGTCATTTCAGCAAAGCAACTTTTATTGTCAAGGATTGAGGCATTAGCATAGCACACATACTCCCAATTCCCTCCCAGTGGAACACTACCAACAGTTTCTTGCATCAACAACTTTGTAGATGTAAGCTGGATGTTCAGGCGCTAAGAAATGTCAATTTTTCCACCTCAGAGATGTCCAGTTTCCTTCAATACAAGCATTTTCATGCTTGATACTTAACTTCACTACTGCTTCATTAAAGGTGAAGAATAGAAGCCACATTCCTCATCCTTCCACAAAGGAGAAATGCCAGCACATCATGCAGATGGTGCCCAGTTTGTGCACAACAAAAAGCCCTTCCTACTGCTCTGCCCAGAGGAACCTTCCTTTGCATTAACCACTGCACCACTGAAATGGCAAACTGCAACCGTGAAATTAATATCCTAAATTAGATACAGCTTCTGGAAAGGGTATGAAGGGTGACACATACAACCTTGAGGCAGCTGTAGCCACAGGACTTTTCCGAGAAAGTAGAATACTCCACAGAGGGTTACTGGGGCAGGAGAGTAACTGGTGATCACAGTGTAGGTATGGCCTGAACTAGATCTAAACCATTTCCCATTTTACACACAGCTTTAAAGCAGCTGGGCTCTGATGCTGCTGACATTAATTCCACCACAGAAGAGGATGCTGGAAGATCAAACTAAAGCCATGTTGGACAATGAGTAAGGCTCTCCCAAGAAAACCTGGTGTCACAATCACAGCTAAAAACAGCAGCATGTTTCAGAGATCACCAGAGATTAACGCCAAACTTAAAGGCAACTAATGCCTTAAATATTTTGGCTACAGGCCAGCAGCTTTAATCCTGCTGCTAATGAGCTTTGCTCTCCCATGGTTGCATCAGATAATACTGAAAACATCCAGTACCTAACATGCACTCAGTTGTCCTCTGAGATGATTCACGTGTTGCACTTCCAAGAAAATCAAAAGTAGTAGTAAGGATTCTGCTCCACTGAGAAGCCCGTCACCGTGCTTTTAATAATGAACAGTCAGCAGAACAATGTGCAGACCAGGTTCAGCCCCCCAGCTCTTAGGAAGACAAACAGGGCTTTTAGCTGACTGTATCTGAACTGTGCTAGCAACTTGTCATTCTGTTCTTTAAATGATCCTGATCAATCCTTCAGAAATTGAGAATTTGAAGCAGAACCCATCAGACAATTATCCTTATATCAAAACAAAGACAATTCAATATCAGACTGCCAAACTCCCAGCCTTTTATAGAAAGGCTACAAATACACAATGCAATTTCTGCTTTGTTGGATACAAGACTTTAAAATAGCATAAGAATTACAGAGAAATAATTAAAATGTGGATTTTCATGTGCTCTTGCCACAACAATCCATATTTTATGCTCAATGCTACTCAAGTATTCAGTATATTGCTGTGAGGATAGTGAACAGACCTGCCAAAGCAAGACCTCTAGAAATGAGGTGTCTGTAAATGAGGCACGTGTGAGGGCAGTTGCTGTTGCCTACATTATCCTCTTCCATGTATTTGCATTGAAAATTCTACACAAAATGCTTCATCTTGATTAAAAAAAGACTCCAGTTCATTCAGTGCAGAACCATCCTGGGTTGGATGTGGGTCTGCTGTAATTCTTCTGATGTTAGTAAAATACCACCTTTGCACACATGAAGGCTTGTTAGTTCCCTTAAAAATTATTTTCCCCTAGGTTTTATTCCTACGAAAATTAAAGGGATTCAGGGGAAAATCTGGGGTAAGTTCCAAAAGGATCCGAGCAGGTTCCCTCAAGGAAGGCAGAAGCATTTCTTGATTGGCAGCAATATAGCACTAAGTAGTAGAAGTAATATCTGGAAAACAACTACGTAAGTCTGAAAATTCTAATGAGAAGTTCAAAAAGCCATGTACTTGCATGCCTGAATGAATCCTTCCCTACCATGAAGGGACAAACCACATCCAGACATTACAGGTGAGACTTGGCTCACCTAAGTGCCCCAAAACTATAGAATATACCAGCTCCTCAGACACGAGGGGCAGTGGGAGTACATATTCAGCACACACTACCTGCTTCATACCTAGCCTAGTTCATACAAAGCCTTCAGTTTTCTACACAGAAAGAGTTCTGATTATTAAGTAGGGAAAGAGTTTTCCTAGAGTCAGAGCAACACTGCAGCTTCAGCTTTATGCAACAAGATGCTGCAAAGTGAGAAGCAATGATCATCTTGGCATTGTTGGAAAATGCAAACAGGCAGCTGAACAGAGACACAGGGTGTGTTTTTCTTTATTCCTTTTCCCTAGAGTTCTCTAGCTCAGACTCCCAGAGAAGCAGCAATCCCCAGTGCTTTACCACTCTCCTGATGACAAGCACTGGGGCAAGCTCAGATACAGCAACAATCTGAGCCTGCACACGTGCAAGCGCTGTCAGAGTTCACCACCTCTTTTCTTCATAAGTTTCTTCAAAAACTATCGACACCCAAACAAAAAAAGTCACCAAAGGGGAACAATCCCTGTTTAAACTACTATCCAAGTGACTGCTCTTCGCCAAGCTGTATGTTGTCACCATCACCATTCATCCTAAACAAAAAGCTGCTAACCAGAAGTTTGGAAGAATTATGAGTGAGGTTTTTCCACAAGAGAAAAAAAAAAAATTAATTGTGAAGAAAAATAAAAAATTGCCAGCACTTCTACAGTTGTGAAAATTTAATAGAAAGCAATAAAAAATTCCTTGTAAAAGCTGGAAAATATGATTTTCTATCAAGTTAAGAAACAAATCTGTCCTGCTTCTGAGACTCAAAATCCTCCCACTAGAATGTTATCATACATGATCAGAAATGGCCCAACTAATGCATGTATTATTTCCTCCACGTAACTCTGGAGGAAGAGGCAGATAATGAACTAGACAGTATTTAGATCACATTAAGTTTTGGGAGGTTTGAATACAAATTCAAGAGGAAAAAAGAGCATTTTATCCCTTAATATTGGTATTCATCCAATCTGTTTTGTATCCTACCAGGAAAGAGAAGATAAGTGAAGGAAATCATAATGCTCTTAAATGCTACTAAAATATTTAGCTAGCTTATTATGCTTTTGAGATCCCAACTCTTTACATGATTAATACCTGTTTACTGCTTTTCTTCTCTTCTGTATTTTTCTTGTCATTTTTCTTGTAAGCTTCGAATGTAGCTGGGTCAACACTGTACAAACACTCAGTCCACTTCCCATACAATGCACAGAGTTTCTTTTTGCTGTCAAAAAAAGCAGACTTAGTTTACAAAGGAGCTTAAAGAGACTTATTTCCCCATTTCAGAGAAAAATATGTGAAAGAAGAACTTTTGAGGGCAACTTTAAAACTCCATTACTGGTACTGCAGAATTCATAACCCTGCTGTTGCAGGTCTGTGCCCTTGACAGACTCTGTCAAAGGCATTCAGTTCTACAGCTCCCCTCAGAACCAAGGGCAGTCATTTGTTTCCCATTTAGAACTAAGCTGTTACCTTTTGTCCTGAATGTAGCCTTCGACTTTGTGCAGCTCCTTCCCAAAGAGGCCACAGGGCTTGAAGCTTAGTACACATTTCTCCCCAGTTCTAAAGGCAGAACAAGAGAACACTAATTATTTCCAAATGCTTTTCCTTTCCAAACTTGCAGGAGGTGAAAGTACTCACGCTCTTAACTTACTTATGGTTAGTTATTTCCACATTTCCATACTGCTCAATCCAAAGTTTGCCCACAATAATGTTATGCACACAGCATGTAGGGTTTGTCCATGTGTAGGCTTCATTGTGCCTAAGGGAAGGGAATAAAAATTAAAATAGTCTACCTGTGTACAGGATGTCTGTCCTTCAATAAGCCATCATCATTCCAAGTCTTGAAATGGGCATGGCAATGAACTTTAAGAACTTATTAACCAAGAATTTTATTAACCTACTGCTACTGATTTTACCAGTTCCTTAAAACAGTCACTTCGGTGCAGTCACTGTTAGCATGGAAAGATATGAGGAAAACCAACAGGACTCAGGCATGCTGGCTTCAGCAGAACTGATGTCCAGGCACTTGGAAAACATCCAGGCCCAGGTCCCCACTGGGGCTATTAGCAGCATGCATGGGGAAACGATGGTAGTTCTTTTCATCTTCCCATCCCCTCCTCCCCACAAAGTGATCTGTCCTCAGGCTTTGGGCTGTGGGTATTGGACACCTCCGTTCCTAAGCCTGAGACTCTAATGCACTCTAACCCTCAAGCATGAGGCACTGTACCCCTTCAATTATTACTGATCCACTTACTCAAGAAGCTCCAAAGTCATCGTGCCTTTTGGTTCTGCTTCCACACTCTTGCCCCAGAATTTGAGTTTTGGATAAATTGATCCATGAAACACAAAATCATTATTTAAGCCTTCAGCATAGAAAGCACTGATTGGTGGATGATGGCTGACTTGCTCTGAGAGAAGTCTAAATCCAAGATCATCTCTGCAAAATAAAGATAACCAAACCATGTACCTACATATCAAGTGTGGTGAAGTTGCAGTTGTTTTTCCTGAGGTGAAATGGATACTTGGACCCATGCACAGTTGCTGTACTCAGTGCAAGACATAATTAAAATCCTAGGCTAAACTGAAAAGATCAACTAAAACATAGAATACCCTCATTCTAAATAACTAAGGACTTAATATAAAGAAGAAACAAGAACTACCAAATCTGATGAGTCAATATAGTTACTTTTGATACTGAACTCTTTCTTAAATCTTCACCTAAACACAGGCCAAAATATTAACTGAAAGAAAAATCTGCCTTAAGTACAGCTACACATTAATACACTCATCTTGCATATTAGGTACTCTGAACACTCCTGTACCCTCTCCTTATGCACATTTTTCATTCATAAAGTTTCAGGGAAAAAATAATTTTTGTAGATAAAACTTGCTTTTAAACATAGAAAATTTCATTTTCCTGCTCTGAATTGAAAAGTCAAGTAGTTTCTCTTCACTGAAAGGTGAATTGGTGAACATCAACACGCATTGTGTGCACCTGCAGCAGCTGCTAGGAGAATGGCTGGAAGCTTATGAGCTAAAGTGCAGTCTGCAAGCCAGCTAACAAAGCTAATGAAACATCTGTGCCACGGAATACCATCCTCCAGTGCAGCTCTGTTCATTACCTGATCAGTTCATAGGTCTCTCCAAGCAATGGGTTGAATGGCTTCCCAGTACGTTCCCACTGCGAGGCTACAGCAGACACAGCAAATGCAGCAACACACTGCTCAGAAGAGTAAGACCACACAGTTAATCAACAGTAGCCATGGTGTTACAGAACATCAAAATATTTTCCTAGACAGGTGTCCTGGTTTCTGCTGGGATAGAGGTGATTTTCTCCCTAGTAGCTGGTATGGTGGTGTTTTGGATTTAGAATGAGAATAATGCTGATAACTCACTGATGTTTTAGTTGTTGCTAAGCAATGTCTAGCAACAAAGTCAAGGACTTCTCGCCCCACCAGGCTGAGGGGAACAAGAAATTGTGAGGGGAGACAGCTTGGAGAGCTGACACATTGACCAAGGGGATATTCCATGCCATATGACATCATGCTCAGTACATTAATAACCTAGAGGGAAAAGAAACCTGGCTGAGGGCTGCTGCTGCGGCTTGGAAACTGCCTGGGCATTGGTCAGTGGGCAGTTAATGACTGCACTGTGCATCACTTGTTTTGTATATTGAAATTATTATTTCTTCTCCTCTGCCCCCTCCCCAGTTCTATCCCCCATCCCATGGAGGAGGTGGGGGGAATTAGGGTGAGCAAGTGGCTGCCTGGTATTGAAGCTGCCTGCTGGCTTAAACCATGACAGTTCTGGCTCTGTACAAACTTCCACCACATGGGTCACATGGACCTGACTTACTGTGCATCTCTGGATAGCTGCTTGTCATCCAGGGCATCATAAATCACCTCCAGCAGGGCTACTTCCTTCAGGCACTGATACCTTTCTCCAAGGTGCTCCACTTGTCTGGGTGACGTATAACATCGCCCTCAAAGGAATATCTTTCCTTCACACCTGACATGAGTCACTTCCACAGTGACTTGTGTCACTTTTCCAATCCCTCTGTCACTGCCTCAGTTCCTAAAAAGAGATCCTACCTGTTTGGCTTCCTTATCCTCCAGTTCCAGACTACTGACTCTGTTATTACCCCAACATTGGAGCGGGCTGGTTTCAATGTGTTCACGTGGCCGACAGCCGAAATCTTTTTGTGTATCTCACAGCTCACTCAGTGACAGTGATTGGGTGGGTACTGCCTCATGTATAAACTCTTCATCTTCCTCCTTCCCTATCAGCAGCTACCTCTCCCCTTTCTCCTGTTCTCTCATGACAGCCCTGCTTCAGAGTAGCCTGTCTTGTTTTCATCTTTCTCCTGCTCCCTCTTGGAACAAACTCCTCCATCCCTTACTAAATGAGCTGACTTTTGCTTCCAACACTTCCTCTTGTGTATAGGGGTGACTGACACCAGCACAGGCTGGTTCTTAGGTTCAGCAGCGGTGCCAGACACTGCAGTTGGAGTAGCTCCAGAGCCTCTCACTTTATTGCCAGATCTGGAGGCCTTCTCTTCCCCTTGAGGGTACTGAACAGTGCTGAACAAGGCTCATTAGGCCTGGGCCAGGCCCCAGCACCTTGCAATGATTTCTGTCACTCTAGAATTGCCAGGGTGACAGTATACTTTTTCCAAACATTTTATTAATTTCTCATGATTCTGCACTTGCGTAGGAGTGAAATTTCAAAGCACTGGAGATGCCCACTATCCTAGTGCTTACCCAGACTATCCCACACACCCTGCCACTCATAGCTTTCCAGCCCTGGGTGGCAGATCTCTGGGTGGTATCCACAAATAGTTGTTTTACTGTAAACAAGACCAGAAACACATTCATGAGATCCAACAAAGGAACAAGTAGATTTGATATCCTGATGATATTCGAAATTCTAAAGAGCTAATTAGCCTGGAAGAGAAGGAGATGATGGAAGAAGGTATCTCCTACATGGATTGGCTCTCTGATGAGAAAAGACAAAAGGTGTAACTATGAATGGTTTCCTATAGATGGCTCCCAAGGTGTGGAAATGCTGGCAATGCTGAGTACAAGTACCAGCTCAGATGCACCACCAGGAATTCTATTCTATCATGAGACAGTGTTACAAAGTACAACAAAATGTTAACCTTAACCCAGCCCCCAGAGGTGATAAACAGCACAGCAGGGAACATATACAGCAAGTTAGATGTTGCATAACCCAGCTCTGAGAACATTCACAGCAGCAAATAAATCAACATCGCAACTAGAGACTATCAAACTAATATCATAAATGCTCATAATTAATTTTCTTTATTATGCTCTGGTCAGATCCATTGTTATCTCAACCCTTCAAGCTCTGATTCTTGTGGGGTGCCATGAAGGACTGTTGTGGTTTAACACAGCAGGATAAGCACCACACATTTGCTCACTCACCCCCCACCCCAACGGGATGGGGGATAGACTGGGGGGATAAAAAGGTGAAATCAGTGGGTTGAGATAAAAGTAGCTTAATAGGGCAGAAAAGCAAAGGAAAATAATAATGATTAAAGAATCACAATAATCAAAAAAAGTAATGCACAATGGCTCACGACCCATGGATATATGCCCCACCAGACCCTGAGCAGCAGCCCCCAGACAGCTTTCCCTTAGCTTATGTACTGAGCTTGACACCATATGGTATGGAATATCCCTCTGGACAGTTGGGGCCAGCTGTCCCAGCTCTGCCCCCATCCCAGCTTCTTGTGTCCTTACTGGTGGGGTGGCACATAAGGAGCAGAAAGTCTTTAAATTACTGTAAACTCAGCTTAGCACAACTAAAACATCAGTGTGTTACCAGCACTATTCTCATTCTAAATCCAAAATACAGCACCATACCAGCTTCTAAGAAGAAACTGAACTCTATCCCTGTGAAAACCAGGACAATAGACAAAACTAGTAAATGAATAAGAGAACTGAACATGCAGCAAGTTACAGGAGTTCCTCCTACAGTGAGACCATGTAGAAGGAAGAGAGATCCCACAACATTCAGCAAGAGCTGACGTGAACTAGCAAGGCAACGCACCTGCATTCGCTCGGTCGTGCTGGAAAGTGAGCTGGCTTTGTGGATGAGGTACGTGTGCTCCATGTACTCCGTGAGTCGCTGCAGGAAGCTCAGGGGCTCGTTGAATATAACCGGCATTGTGATCTTCGACAGCTCCTGATGCACAAATGAAATTCGTGTTACAAGCTGAATGATTAGATACCCTGGCCCGCAGTAACCCAAGTGTAATTGGCTTATTACAAAAATAAATGATGCTCTTAGTGCTAATGCAATGTGCTTGACCTGGCTCTGCTAATACTGAAAGGACAAACCATTATGAGCTCCATAAGCAGAGCTGTGCTGACATTAAGGCTACTTTTAAAGCAAAAAGAAAACCAAACAGCAAACTTCCTGTCAATGAAAGTGTTAAGAAAGTGAGATGAAACAATGGAAAGAAGTATTAAGGACCCTTTTAAAGACTAAGTTATTTATTATTCTATAAATAGATATAAACCATCTAATTACTTAAACATATTATCCTTTTTTGGAGGCAGGTGGGCAAGTGGGGGGAGGAGAATGAGAAAGGGCAGGGAAACATGGTGGTACAAGAGTAAAAAGAGGGATTTTATATTCTGAAGAAAAAAAAGGGAGTTTGTAACAGGAATAAGAATTTAAAGGACGCCCTACAGTTTGGATGCTGTCAGTTCTCTCTCTCCATTTTTAAAAAGCATGCCCTCTGAGTGCGTAACACAGCAATGGTTTGCCTGCAACAGCAAATTAAAAGGGTGTAAATGTGACTGCTGGCCAAGGGTGAGGCAAACAGCACCATCCTGAGCCGTAACAGCAGCACCTGGCACCAGGAGCCTTGGCAGATGCTTTGGTACAAGCCACTACAAGATCTGCTGCCCCCCACAACTACAGCTTCTCTGCAGCAATTGCTGCAAAGCAGAATTAAGACCCTTTTTTCCTGCACATACCTTATGCAAGGCAGGCTTTCAATCTGTTCTTTGTATTTTGTAACACTTTTCCACTAAAGACACTGGGAGAAGCCTCAGACACTTCACCATCAACTCGGGAGACTTGGAGCTGCTGATGCAGGCATTCCCCAGCATTTCCACACCTCATTGCTTCATGCTGCTCCTAACTACACCAAGGGGAGGAGGAGAAAACAACAGCAACTAAACCCACAAACTTTCCCTTCTGTAGACTACTGTTAGAGACTGACAGAGGTTTATCAGCAGCAAGTGTTTTCAGCCTATTGTAGGATCTAATGGAGAGAAGAGCTCTTCTCAATTCACACCTAGCTGGAAGCAGATTAGGTGCCAGCGAGCTAACTCTGATCTGGCCACCGTCTGGTCAGGAACACCGTGGAAGGGGGAAGACTCAATTGCTAAGGAGAAGGAACAAAAGCAAAATGAAAGTGGTTTTTTTTGGGGGGGTTGTTTTGTTTTTTACACAGTCAAAATAAATTAAAAAAACCCACGAAGTACTTTAAGGGTTCCAGTCAAGAGAAGATGCTTTTACTGAAAGAATATTGTTCTGACCAGGTCCTACCTTCTTAAATTAAGCAGGTAAAGCATAAAGCAAATTAAGCATAAATAAAGCAGCAAATAAATAAGGCATAAGCAACAAATTAAAAAAAAAACAAAAACAAAACAAAACAAACCTAAAACAAACAAATCAACCCCATAAACAAATGAAAAAACAAATACAAAAGACCTCTTCTCCCAAACAAGTTTTCATTTGGCCCTCAAACAAAACAATCACTCCCCATTTTTTATCATAGCTTTCTGTTTACCTACCATGCCAATGCATTTTCTTAAGATACTCCAGATACTGAAGTCATTTCTGGAAAACATTGGAGATGGTAAGCTTGTTCTGTGGAAAGGAAGAGGGGAAAAAAGCAGAAGTAAGAAAAGTTTTCCAATACCAACCGTGACTAAGAAATGCAAATGCTCATTTATGAAAGGAACAGTTTCCCAATTTTTAAATTAAAATCCCAGGGGCAATGACAGTGCTACTTTGAAGCACTTAAACTGTTTTACCTGCATAGAAACATGAATTTCTCCAAAACCAGAACCATTAATTTTGCATAACACCAGAGGAGAAGAATGTCTACAGCAGTCATCAGAGCAGTTTTCACAATGGCACCACGAAGATATTTAGTTGTGTCTTTGTGAGAAAATGGAAGTTAACTAATAGGTACATGTTCACTATGTCTGAACAGGGTTAAAACAGTGTGATTTTTTTGGGTTTTTTTCTGCTAGCCACGTTTATATTGACAATGAAGGGCCACAACATTTATGGCCTATATTAAAACCAGCCCTCAGGAACAACAGAAAAAAGCAGCATCATTAAAGAAGAGCAAACAGAGCAGCCTGTTCTACAGGGGGCTGACATATCCCGAAACAAGTCACAAGCATACTTTCAAGGACCAGCATTTAGACTGAGAACACAGTGTGCATTTCTCAGCCTTATGGGAAATCAAGCATGGAGTTTGTTCTGTTTTCTTACTGCTACTGACCAGCTCAACTGTTAATCCAATTTACTTCTAGAAGGCATAAGTACTGGTCAAAGTATTTTGTCCACAACACAAATCCATTTTTCTATCATGATGCTATTGCCAGTAAGCAAAATTCACAATTTTTCTGTTCTTATCAATAAAAATTACCTAGAGCTCACTATCAAACTTTCAACGTTTTGTTAACTCTAAATTATTGTGTTGCTATCCTAACCAAGGCTGTCTTGTCTCTGCTCAAGGTAGCTAAAGCAATCTTTTTCAGAGAGTGTGAACAGGCTGTACCTTCCTTCTCCACCCCAATCTTTCTGAAAACAGAAACACTGCCTTTAGGAAAAAAATACTTAGGCAAAATTGTTTGTTTCAGTAGCCCTACTTGCTGTGCTACCTCCCCTACTTATCTGCCACTGGAACACCTTTACCAGGGCTGATGCTTCAGTTTTCAGAAAGAACAAAACCAGAAAACGTTTCTTAAAATCAAACAAGTCCCATCCCATCAAAAATCCAGTCATATGTCTGATCTCCTCATGGTAGCAAACTATAGTGTTAGCAAGTAGCTACAAGCCCAACACCGACTTGTTTTACTCAGCTCCCCTGCAGAGGATGAGTGGGTAGGAGGATTTATTTTAATTGACCAACACACCACCACTCACTCCCCATTCTGACTTTTCACTGAGACAAAAATGTTTTGTGAAAAAGATCATCCTGAATCACATAAAGTATAAAATACTTCTGTGGATGTTTTGATACATATGTCCAGGAGAGGACAGTGTCCACCAACTGTTCAGTCTTATCTTCACTTGTAATGTTAACTTGTTTTTCCTGAGTATCCCTTAATGCAGGCAGTCAGCAGAGTGGGCACTTGTGTTTGAGTAAGTCCTTCTGCATGTTAAACACATAACCCTTAGTTTGCTGAAGTATACAAAGAAATTGCTTTCCTTTCTAAACTTACTTTCCTTACTAAAACTTACATTTTCATTAAAGTTAACCTGCCCTTTTATTCAATTTGTTTAATCACTTGAAAGCTGGCATTCAGTTTCAGCCACTCATCCGTATTTGTTGCCTTTATCAGTCAAACCTGCTATGGGAGTCAGTTCTCTCCTCCCTCTAAAACACACACACAGGCACTGAAAAAACAAAGTAGTTTTAAGCCACCAAGGAAGATCCCAGGGACAAATAAGGACATGTGGACAAATGACAGGCAGCCAAGACTTGAGGCCTACTAACCTTGACATACTCCCTGTGATTAAACAAATGATTTTTGAATACAAACATTTCTCTCCAGATGTCAGTTTCAAAAACAACTCAGGAAGTTAATTTTAGCTTTAAGTGACAAAAACATCTGCTGGAATTTCTGTGCAGTAGAACAGATGAGATTTATTTAGGATGCTTTACTTAAACAAAACACACTTGCCCAAAGCATTAGCTATTATACATCAACTGCTATAGGAATCTTGTGGGGAAGGAAACATATGGAGTGAAAAGCACGTTTAGCTTGCTTTTCATGCCAACCTGCACAAACAGTCTCCTGGCTCCCATGAAACTGAACACCAACATGTTTGCATTCTGAAAGGCCCCCAAAGCAGGGACCAAAGGGAAAGCTGACAACAAAATTCAGCAATAAGAGGAAAACAGCAGTGACAAGTGGATATAAAACATTGGCACTTAATACAGAACATTTTTATGCACTGGAATTTTTGGGAGTTTGCTTGAACTTTTTTGAGGGGTGGGGGTTTTTTTGCCTTTTTTTTTAAGTTTGTCTCAGATGAAAAAATTCCCCTCTTAAAAAGAAGTTATTTGAATGCTTCCTGATTATTTATTGTACTACTCTATCTCTCAAATCCTCTCCCAAGAAGTGTAAAAATTAAGTCTACTCTCAACTCTCTGAACAATCAGCAGGATGCAAACTACATAAAAAAATCCAAACCAAACAACAAACAAACAAAAAGCCCCCACCAAAACAAAACAAAAAAAAAAAAAAAACCAAAACAACCAAAAAAACCACCGCCCCTAGAATAAACATGCAGATTATATGTAGTACTTGCTTCACCTATCTGTATATTTACTTCCCAACTCTTTTAATTCCTTGGAACCAACAGATTTATTCCTCCATTTCCAAACCCAAAGCATGTACGGTTGGTATTGGAAAACTTTGCTTGCCCCTGCCAAGCAAAAACCAACCTCCACTTCTGTGTGAAAAACTCTCAACCACTCAAATAATATTTGAGGTGCAGATTAGAGCTCAGGATCTCTAGATGAAGACAGAAAATAATCTTATTTAAACTGTGGGCTGAACAGTGTTAGGTAATCTCATGTGCAACCTAAAGGCACAGATCCTCTACTCATCTGAAGGTTGATCAAGATTTTAAGCAAAATAAATTAATATGGTCTATTTTCTAAGGGACTTGTTTCCATGTGGTTAACACAAATGGAAGTTAGAAAAAGTAAAAGCTATAAGCAAACTCAAGGGTGTAAGGATGGAATTAAGTGATGTCAAAATATTCTGAATCCCTCACTTTTCCTAGCATCAAGAGGTTACAGCTTTTGCTCTGAAAAAGGACCCAGGTGGCAAAGCAGGCAGTGCCTATTTGACCACATGCACACAGTTAGAACCAGCCCCCAGACAAAACAGGCACAAATTGGAGCCAGCAGCTCCAGGCAGGTAACAGAGTCCTGAAGTCACATGAAGCAGATGCTGTACCAGGCCAAATGTGGCCACCACCAACAGCCTCAGAGAAGAGGCAAAAAATACCACACATCTCACATCCCCTGAGAAGGTTCTCTTGGAGGTGAAGTTTAAATTGTCTGAGCATCTGGGGAGAAAGATTTTGCAGGGTAAAAAGCCTAACATTACAGCTTAATCTATAATGTTGTTATAGTCATTTAATCCCATAAAATACAGCCACATATTCTATTGCCATTTAGTCACATAAAATAAGGCCATACATTCTTATCTAAATGCAAAATAGATTCAAAAAATGTTCCACTTTTCTTCAGCAGTAAATTATTAGCAAATTCATGCACTCATTTTACTCTAACATCCTATGCTCTCTTTACTACTAGAAGACAGGCAGCTCAGAGAAACAACTGAGGCAGATGTACTTCCTTGTTACTTTCCATTACTCTTCATAAAATCAAGAGCTCTGAAATGCTCCTCCAATCACCTGCTCCCTGCAGTTCTGACAGCACTGCGCAGCATTACACGAAGTTGCAAAGTAATTTTTTCATAGTAAATGGAGGAGTAATTCCCGTTTGAACTCCTCAACACAATGCAAGTCAACATGCACCATCATTTTCACGTTCATTATGTACTGCATCCTCTCTCCTCACTGTTTCCAAGGCAGTGAAGGCAATTCAGATGTCCACCTTCACCTACTGCTTCCTCCCCCACTCTCGAACTTCCTGCTCTAATTAGGGAAGGCACTTAGCCAAGGCCATAAATACCACATTGCTAACAGCACAAGAGCAAAGCAACATGCTTAGTCAGCTTCTTTATGTTATCTCCTCAAAACACTCATTACTCCACCCAAGCCCTCATTTACTTCAGTCTCTGTCTAGTATGAGACATGCACAGGTCAACCTTTGAAATTATCAGGTCTGATGCTACCAACTCACTTCAACAGTTACTGCGATTTAACTACCAAAATACCAAGTAATTAAAGCCTATCTAGCTTCCTTCTGTAAAATTAAATATCATTTTCCTGGTTTTACAGAAATGTGGTGTCTCCATCATCATCCTGTACATCCAAAACACTTCCAGAATAGTCTCTTTGAAACATGCTGAAGTCTGGCTTTATTTGTAGCACAAATGTTATATTGCCCTTTCACTGAAACTGGAGAATAGTGGTGTCTGTTACATCTCATTAACTCCAGACCTATTGTCCTCCTTTATCGGCAAGGAAACAAACAAAAATGGATCATTTGACAACACAAAATAAGCACATAAAACATGGATGAGACTTTTAGAATAAGACTCCCTTTGTTCACATTTGAGTTTCTGATGCCAGGCTAGCAATATTTTTCATTCATTCCTGATACCAACAGAAGGATCAAATAACTCGAAATTAAAGAGGCAATAGGAGGTACGGGTCATTAAAGATAAATGAAGGAATTAAAATCCACATAGATTTCAATAAGATCTAATAAAAAAACAAGTGTGTCCATTTTTAAACAGCACATTATATTTTCTTTTTACTTATTTAGATTGGATCATCAAGATGCAAAGGAGCACACCTTGGAAAAACAGTCTTTATAAAATCATAGCACAACCAATTACTTATCTATCATCCCTAGCAAAATTGTAAAAGTTTTCTGTTAGCTTTTCAGAGATTCCTGTGGTCTCTTACCATTAACGAATATTATAGAACTTTAAGAATGGACAACATCCTACCTGTGCTTTTTGATTCCGTTTGACAGCGACTCCCCGCTGCCACACACCTTTTCTTCAGACATGCTTGAAGTTATTGTATCTTTTGAATCCATGCTGTCCTCTAACGAGTAGGCTGCTGTTGTTTCAAACGCACTTAATGATTTTTCAGATTCCGAATCTGCAAAAGAGCAGGTGCATGTTAATGAATCTACCGCCTGTGCTAGACTTCAGTCACTAACAGTTCTCCCCGCCTTGTACAAAACTGAAACCTAAGTAGCCTGCTGTGTCCTGATGACAGCATCCATTTGGTAAGTAACTAGTACTGCCAGAGACTGCTGCAGCCCAGCATCTAGATATAAAGAAATTGCACAATAAGCAAGACCACAGCACATTAAAAATCCTCTATGAAAATAAGCCAAAATCTGGCATATTTATTAAATTGAAGCTACTAGACCTTGCCTAGGACAAGTGCCAGTGCCATACAGATGTCAGTACCCTACCAAACCAACAGGTACCTTGAGTAATGACTCCTTCTTCACTTAGGTGTAAGTTCTTAAGACTCTCAGTGCTGTTCACAAACCTTCACTTCCCAACTCACTGAACAAGTATCAAAGAACAGAAGGATGTATCATATAGATAACACCAACTACGTAGGTTCCAGCAAAGTCTAAGTGATAAGCTCACCAATCAACAAGATAAACTTCGTTCTGTGGAAGGCAGGTTAATAGTACAATCCACATCATATCTCAAACTAAACCAAACAACAACAAAACCTTCTTTCTAACCAGTGTTTTGGTGAGGTAGTGTTTGTCCAGCTCTGGAGAAAAGACAGTCTTGTCCCAAATCAGAAGGTATAAATTTCCTGGCAAAGGCTGTATTTTTGTGTTAGGTTTTCTTTCAAACCTGACAAGATTGTCTAAGGATTATCCAATTGCAAGTTCCAGGAAGTGAGGGAACAACTCAAGACATGAACTTCTATCTCATTTGAAAAATTCTTTAGCAGAAACCAGGTACCACACTGAATGGTAAACAGCTTAATGCAAGCCTCACTGTTCCTGAAAAACATAGACCCAATCTACAGTAGATGCTATTCCTGCTATGTACTGCTTCCAGCATATGCTGTTGCTCTTGGCTGCAAAACCCCAGAGAAATAATTGCAAAATTAGCCATTCTCTCACATTCTCGTTCTAATTCAAAACCAGTAATCAAAATCTGCTGAAGTAGCACAGAGTCCAAAAGAATATCTCACTCACAGCTGTCTAGTGCCAGGTGCTTTCTTGTTTTGTCTTTAAAAAGCTATGCCAGTAGCTTCTCCAGAACATGTAAATTGTATATTGCTTTGCTGAAGGGTGTGTGAATATACATACATAGATACATATAGATAGGAGGACTTTCTACCACATCCAGATTACATAAGGGTCAGGAACAGGACAGAATCCTGATAAATGGATGCGCTATGTCACAATGTTTCCATCCTTTCTAGAGAGAGAGATCTAGAAGCATAAAGGAGATCTTTCATTTAAAACATCCATGCCTATCCTCATCAAGACAGTACTGAAATTAAGCCAGTTGCTAGGGAATGAAAAGAACTGCCAGCTGGTGCTCAGGATATGTTAAAGAAGTGGACTGGCACTCCAGAGAATCTTCTCACAATTTTCCCCAAATTTGTCAGTCTAGATCTGTGCCAAGTTATGACATAACATAACATATCAAAGCATTAGTTTGGTGGGTACTATATTTAACAAGTAGGGTAAGGAAAAGCATTTTTACTTGTGACAAGTTCATTACATAAAATACAGATTTGTCCAGAGATCCTAGACCCAGGTAGCCAGGGAAACAGAGTTTTCCTGCACATCCAAATGCTGCAGAGGAAGAGACACTCCAGGAGTGTGAGCCAACTTGGGCCTCAGCTTCCTGACCACACAACAAGCTATAACTCTTTGTATTCCACCTCTCTTTTGAAAGAGCTGCTCAACTGTGCCAACAGTTATCATGACAAGACAAGCATGAAGCCAATACCCAGTAACATAAAGGAAAGTCCAGCTCCTGTAGGGTCCTTTCTTCTCTTGTACCATCCAGGACTGTCTTGCTTTCAGACAAGAGTCACAGCGTGCAAATCCCTTCAATCTGAGTCTCTGCAACAGACCCAGGACTCCAGAGCAGAAAGGCAAGAACAGATAAGCTTCACCAGAACTGCTTGTCACTCTTGGATATGATTCTGGGCATAACAAAGATTTTTAAATACCACGCATGTCCAGTTCTCCTCATGCTGGCCTTACAGTGCCAAGAGAGGATTCTGCTGGACTGAGCTCTGCACCTGCAAACCTCTCCAGAGCTGTAGACACTGACCAGACAGCTTTCCCCAGGGCATGAGCCTTCCCTAATGCAAGAATACCATGCTATACAAGAAGAAACAGTAGAAGAAAGAAACACAACTGTTATAAGAAACTGCTCCCTAGAGAAACCTCACCCATTTTCCTGGGAAACAGAGAAAAGTACATCTACAATAGCTCCTGCCATCAAAGACCTCAGTATCCAACCCCTTAACCTCAGCTACCTCCTTTAACCCAACAAGCTTAGCAAGCCTTGAGAGATTGTTAGGGTGTCAGAGTGAACAAGCCTAGTACTGTACTGTGAGCACAGACCAACAGGCAATCAAACTGAGCTCTTCCCTGTGCACTTGCAGCGAACTCTTTTCTGAATTAAGATTTGCATACTCCCCCGTCACTGCAAAAAAAGATTTATATTCACAAGTTTCTACAGAGCAGCTGTCAAACAGATGACTAGGAGAAAATGAAGGGTTTTTTTTAATTGAACTTAAGGGGTTGTGGGCTGAGGAGGGGGGAGAAGGAAGAAGAGTCCCTGTTCAGAAGCCAAAATTTTAAAGTAATCTCTGAGACAAGACCAGGCTGACTAGGAAGCTCTCCAGCTCATGAAACCTGAAAGAGTAAGAGTACAAACACCAGCTACATTTTGCAAGAGTGGAAGAGAACAGGGAAACAGCAGCAGCAATGACAGGAACTTAACTCAAGGGACCCCAATTTCCTATTGCTACAACTGCTAAGTTTTCAGATACAGACAAGAAAATCTGGCCAATGTTTTTGATTAATAAATAAACCTGAGAAATATAATGCTCAGCCACTGGCATTGCTGGGTTTTAGTTCTGATCAGGTGTTTCCCACCCTTCTGAGACGCCCGAGTTCATTCTTTTAACTCTATTCAAGGCAAGAAGTGACAGGCAGCAGTGCTCTCACAGAGGCTGTGAAGTATTTTTGGTACACGTTCAAAAAAAGCCACTTGACAAACTACTCTAAACACGGAAGGAAGGGCAAGAGGTTTGTATGCTTTTTGTACCATTTTTAAGTGATCTGATTACTGGAGACAAACTAGGAAACAAGCAAAAGCAACGGATGTAGTCTGCTATTTATTGTATCATTTAGGAGAGTTATTTATAAACACAGCACCCAGTAGTGTTAGATACCAGCAGAAGCTATACTATGACAGGTTAGCTTCAGAGTATTTAAATATTCCTGTAATGTAGCTAAATAACTGCTTTTATTGCAAGATCGCATCCATGCAAAGCCATCAATAACCCTCTCAACACACAAAAAAATCCTGTTTGCATAAAAAACCCCACCTCTCAGATAAAACCTGTTTAAAAGAGAAAAACAAAGGAAGATCTAAACTCTTCCCAAACTGACTGGGTGCACAGTTTGCATATGAGAAGGGAATCTTACCTGAAAGGCAAAAATCACGTACCTTTACCCTTTAATTCTTGACCGGCTTAGCCATTTTTCAGCCTTGTGGATGACCTCTGCATTCCTATTCCATTTCCATATGCTTCTGGTCTGTATTAACCAAAGCAAATAACTTCTCCACCTCTCTAGGAGATGGCATTGGTCTTTTTGTATTTTGCTACTTGTTCAGTGCTCCTTCCCCTCCCCAGAGCCCTCCCGTTCTACCCCACCCTGCTTTAAACATAGAAGAGTTTGACACATGTTAAGCATTCAATCCTGAAAGTGAGAGCTGCAGCAGTCTGTGTGGTATCGAGTTTAATTACACATTTCCACCACTCCCATGATGAGCAGATCAGCGCACCGGGAAGTGCTGTTAACTGACCTATGGCTATCAGAGTTCAGATTAATAACACCCTTAACTTTGCTCTTTTTAACACTAGATACCGTGCTTTAGTTAAGACAAATAACTGGCATTTTCTGTAGGTTCTTCCTTTAATTTCTCTCTCATTTCAGGGATTTAGTACTTTTTGACTGTTGCAGTAATTCCTGACAACAGCATTATCACTTGAAGATAAAAGAGAAAGGAGACTTCAGAAAATAAACTTCAACTCCAGTAAGTAATCTTACCACATTGCAAGCATTTTCCTCACTCCAGTTTTGGAAAAGGAAGAGGATATTTCTGTAACTCTGGCCACAATTTCTACAAACAGAACCACACACCAGACTTTAACAGCGAACAATTCAGTCTATGCCAACACTAGCAGGTAGCATGGCTCAGGCTGGAGCAGATTTGCAAGAGGAACAGATGGTGCTGAGGACTTGACAATCAAACCAGATATGTTTCTAGTGCTGTTCTCTTCAGATCTGCTCTTACTCGGCTGCCATGGACTGAGTGTCCAATAGGAAGTGGACTGTATCTTCTGATTCAGCTTCATTCAGGAGCAATTGGATTGCTCTACAATGCGAACCAGAGCATGGCAAATGGGGACAAGTAGTTGCTGCACTGACTACATCCTTTTTGATACACCTCTTCCTCAAAAACCTGCTTGAAAATTGCTCTGAATTGTCCCATTAGTAATACTTCTGCTGAGAGTAAACAAAAAATTATTTTTAAAAAATTAAATAAATAACGCAGCAGTGGCATCTTCTTTCAACCTGTCAAGTCAAAACTAACAATTCTTCAGCTCAAAGTGCAAGCCTACTTATGCAACACTCTCACTTCTAAACTCACTCCTACAGCAGGGATTTAAAAATTCATAGAACTGCAAGCAGAAAAAGATGGCATCCTGATAGAAAAAATACTCTAAGTAGTCACATTTTCCTACTGACAGACATTATAGCTTGTTATATCATCCTGTTAAAATACATTGGTGTTTGCTCAATCTCCTAAACAACTTAGAAAGGTAATTAATGAATATGGCTATTTGTCGAAAATCAATATAATTTAACACTATCAGTTTGCAAATCAGGTTAAGCAAAAGCTTTGCAGACAGTTGTAGCAATTTAGATTTCCAAAAACAAAAAAAAACAAAAAAACCTCTCCTCAAACCATACCAACAAAAAACTAATTCCTTTTATGCTTAAAGTGAAAGTGGTAACATGTATTCAGCAGTCAGGAAAATAAATTACATTTCCCTTTTCCTAGCCACCTCCCCATCCCCGCCCCCTTCAGAAAGGGCCTTAATCTCTGCAAAGCACTAAATGTGAACAACCTAGAGAAGAGACTCTAACACCAGTCTGATTAAACTGATGGACAGCCAAGAAAGTCTGTCCCAGAAAATTACTTAAAATGCAATTAAGGTGAATTATGTCAAGTAACTTCTCCCAAAGGAGAAAGAAATCACATTTGGGCTTTTTCAAGTATGTTTGTATACATATGCACTCAGCAAGTTTCACAATTTTACAAATCCACTTGATACGATTTGTTTGTAGCTTGCAAGGACAAAACTACCACCTCTGGACAACAGGAGAGGTGGCTTTGGACAATTCCATTCAACAATATTTAGAGATCAGGTCAGTTATGAGATGTGTCAACTAGCAGCTCTTTAAAGCTTAATATTCTATCATATGCACAAGGCAAGCCCAGCTGGAGAGACCACATTCCAAGAGCATCAGATAAAGAACTATTCTCTGCTTTGCTGACAATCAAAAGAGCCTGAGGCCTTTCAGCAGAATTGTTCCTTTGGTTCCAGAGGAAGAACCTGTTTTAGTGTTCCTCAGTCTCTTCTACTTGAAGGCTTGCTGTGCCAAACAGCAAAGTCTCCTTCACAAAGTTGATTCACTGTCTTCCTGTGCATAGACTTCCTCTGCCTGTTTTTTCACAGCTTCAGTTTCTCACTGCAGAACACCTACCAAGGAGTCTGGGAACACTGCTTTTCTCATCTGTCAGAAGCATCAGACAGTTCAGTTCACAGAAAAAGTAACCCCATCCTTGCTAGTGAAGTTCGCCATCACAACCCCGTTGTCTGCTACAGTTAGATTATGTTCACCCTCAAGCTTTTCCAGATCCTTCATAGTTGTAGACAGGTGTGTGCTGACTGATCACCCAGTTAGAGCTACTGCTGAGCTGCATGCACTATGTACAGCCCGCTACACAAATGCATATTGCAATCATTTCAGGCAGTTCAGAATCTTCCAACTATTGGCATGCTCTGCATACGAAATTATGAAAGATACTAAACTGAAGAACAGATAAGGAAAGAAAAGACATTTAAGAAATGCATGCAGGATTTTGATTCATCCTTTTCTTTCACATTTAACACTTCAGGTATACAAAACTGAAATAGAACAAGCCTTTCTTAATATAATTATCCCTAAAAATTAGGGATTTTTACAGTCTAATCTTAACAACACAACAAAGGAAAAAGTACACACCACCACCACGGACAAAGCAAGTCAGAAGGCTACAAGATACAGTTACCCCTCCCAAAATAGGAGCCTTATGTTTTGCTATTTAAAAAAAGGGTGTAGACTCCCAAGCAATCAGACCTTTCATTTCTGTCCTGTGGTTTCCTAACCTTTGGTCATGCTAAGGTGAAGCAATACAATTCTGCAGGTGAGCTCTGGCAAATTTTTACCGCCCTGCTCATAAAACACACCAAGCTTACTCCTAAAATTAGGTCGATGTTAGAAAGGCAGAGATTTCACTTGAAGATTGACTGCTTCCACCTTCTTCCCCCACCCCACCTGCCCCCAAGACACTCACTACACACATACTGTCTACACACTCACATTCTGGACATCACCACTTACCTGAAACAGCATCATAGAACTGCTCTTCACTGAGGATGCTGAGAGGTGGAGATCCCTTAACCAGAGACTGCTCTAGTTCATGGTGCTCGGTAGCGAGTGTCTCTAATGCTTCTGACAAGATCTTGTTTTTCTCCTGCTCATGCTCCAGTTTCAAATTCCTCACCTATAAGTAGATACATGTATGAATAAAATCTCATCTCTCTGAAGAATGTGTAGCTGGAAGCTATTCAGAAAATAGACTCTAATGAATAAATAACTAGCAAACAGCTGGAACTGAAACCACATGGATAAATGAGAATATTATAGTACTTCTGTGATGACGATAAGGTTGTTAGTCAGCATTTTTAGTAGCTGAAAAATCTGACAGCACCAATCACAATTCCATAAGTGAATTCAAGCCAGATAACTACACCTTAAAACTGAGGGGAAATATTTACAGCTCTACTTGGATGACCTTAACTACGGAGTCAGTGATCGGTTTCTACACGCACCAAGCTCCTTCTACTAGTCTGCTCCAATTTAGGCCAAGCAGCATCATCTAAATTGAATTACAGGGCAAATGTAAATGCTAGCTACAAATAACTGCAACTGAACTATGAGCTGAAAACATTTAACCCTGAACATTACAGAAAGAGGTTAAGAAAGACGTTAATATAAACAGCCCTCCCCCTGAACTCCCCAAACAGTTTACCGAGGAGCCAGAAGTTAAAAAAAAGAGAAGCCCAGCCACCAGACAGTGGACCTTTTTCAAAATGTGCAATGGGCTCCAGGGCAGATGACATTATCCACGTTTTGAGTTCAGTACTTGTAATGGAAAAGCAACATGTCCTTCCTATTTCCTCTTTTTTTTTTTTTTTTTTTTTTTTTTCTGGTGCTTCCCTGCCTCCTCTGTCTGCCAGCAGCAGGGAGTGGGCTGGAGGTTCAGAAATGGCCACTCTTCCCAGCCCAACAAGGCTTCAGTGTAACACCTCCTTCAGTCCCTAAACCATCAAGTCTTTCCCTTTCTCCCTTCCAGTCCCTTTTTAAAAGCATCCCCAACCCCTTGTCCTCTAGTTTACTCTCAAAGGTCAGTTTACAACACTAATTCCCCCTCCACTAAGAACATGCAAGGACATGACAATTAATCTCTTGGAACAGTTACAGGGACAACTTACACATATACCAACATTACCTTTTTGAATCTAATTTAAGAACTGTTCGTATGTCCTCTCTGGTTACAGTTTACATTAAAGCTTTACTTTGGAGGCTTCAGCCCCCTCAGTTATAACCACTTCTCAAACAGTGGATTCAGAGCTGAGAACAAAAGAGACTAGCAAGGAGATATTAAAACAGATTTGCCACTTCCAGAAAAGAGCTTCTATACTGGTGGAAACATATCCTCTAGAGAAAGATTTATAGAAGAAATTTTCACTACCTCAGTTGTGCCAAATACTAAATCAGCTGTTTTGTCTGCCAGGCTCTGAGTGTAAGGGGGGAATCCAATTAAATGATAATTAAAAAACTATAAAATTGGGTTGCTAATTGAAAGCAGAAAAACCAGTAAGTCACTTACTGTCTAATAGTTTTACTCTGAACAAAATGAAAAAAGTCTGGACTAGTTACTGTCACTTTCATTTAAAGTTCACTCTGACAGTACCAATGAAGCCAATTACTGCAATGTTTCATACAAATCAGACATGCCGTTGCAAAAGATCTGTTATTAGGCAGTTTCTGCTAAATACATTTGGTATGCTGTCAAACAGTTATAGAACCACCAGCTTAGAGAAATAGCATCAGTATTTTGCTCTCCTGATACAGGGAGGGAAGACCGAAAATAAAACGGTACTTTTCATTCTTATTAAACAGCAAAGTAAAATCAGTTATGAAAATGTTATTTGCAATAATATTTTCTGCAGGATTGAATTAGATGCCATTATGTGCTAATGCTTTGGTAAGTGATTTGAGTGATTTAAATCTTTATCTAAAACTTAAAGCAAATTGAAGGAAAATCAAAACAATCTAAAAACCTGGACCTTTTCAGCATCCTTTAGTCACAGTTGTGTGACTAAAGAAGCAACAATACACACAGGCCTAAGACCATGCCTGCTCCAAAAAAGTATTTTCTTGACCCTAAGGTTCCTCTGTCCTATCATAAGGTAGAGCTATTCAGAATTGCAGAAGGTGCGCTACAAATAAATACCCTTTTTGTAAAATCAATTTCATATTTTACAGTAAGGCTCACTTTTCTCTGTACTCCCAGACCTCCTGGTTGTCAGACACTTACTAGTACAGTAATTATATGCCAGTAGGTAAAAAAAACCCAAAGCTTTTCATCTGTTCCATAAGCAACACAATGCTAGCCAGAAGCTAAGGAATAAAGAAAACCCATTTAATTTTATTGCTTGCAATTGTTGGAATGATGATTCATAACTGAATGAATTGGATTTAAAGCAACCTTAATCAATATCTAGGGGCTTAAGAGGGAAAGTTATAATATAGCATTTTTCTCAGCAGTTTGGAGGTCATGGGATGGACACACACATTCAGACAGAGTCCAGAGACTGCCCTACCAATCTCTACAGGCTGGCACCTCTACACTAGTCATTCCTTGAGGGCTGTTGTCAGGAAACACTGCAACACACCACATCCTTAAGCACCAAAACAGTTTCACAGCGTGAACATGAGAATGAAAAAAGATTTTAAAAATGGTTCTACTACCCTTATTTTATTGATTTTGCCTGTAGAGAAGCAATGCTGGGAGAGATAAAGCTGGCACAACCCTGACGTACTCAACAATACAGGAGAAAGAACCTTGCTTGAAATAAGCTAGTTTTTTTTTTTTTCAAACACCAAGCAGCTTTAAGAGATACTTCCATTCTGTCAATAATAAAAGTCAAAGTGATGAAGTTCACCTCCTAAAACCTACTTGCAGTACATTGAATGTAAAGGGAGGATGATGTTTTGTTTTCTCAGAATCACACACATTCTCTTCCCAGTTTAACATGAAACACTGCAGGCAGATTGGTGCTGCTTTCAGAGCATAAGTTTATTGAACAATGTAATTGACCAACTGACTGATAGGTTTTCCCAAAATGTAAGCAGCAGATCGCCATTTTGCATAATCTTGCCATGCTCTATTTCTCATTCACAAGTCATGGTCAATTAGTCCATCCACCTTGCTACTCCACCACCATTTTTTGGAGATGGCATTTCAGCTTTATCCCTTTTGCAGAAGTTGTTTCTTTCTCATTGTGTCTTTCTTCAGTGTCCCAACACAAAAACATCTGCAAGATTACAGAAGGAACTTCCAGACTAGTTTTAAAATTTGTTATTAACACAAAAAGTGTAAGATTCATGTAGTAAGCAGGAAGAAGAGCATAAAACATGAAAGTTGAGAAGCATTTCAGTCTATTAAACTGGATGCAGAGAGACCAGTATTTTTCAGTGAAGTATCACCTGATTTTGTGAAGTTGCATCAGCTGAATACTGAATCATTTTATGAACTGACAGAAATATTCATGTAATGTAGTAAATATTACACCAAAATGATGCACATACCTGTGTACACACAGTTCTGGAAATTCAGTCTGAGCATGAGGAAGTATTGGAAGAACCATTGTATTGACAGCCTGAGTAAGGCACAGCCTGTAATACAGCTGTGGTTTCTGTACCTTTCATGGTGGTGCCTGAGCTGAGAGACAGATGGCAAATCTTACTGGGTTCAGCGCCTCATCTTCCAACTATGGAATGGCTGCCACCTATTAGATCTCTGTCACTGGTGCCCACAATGCCCGTGCCACCAGCAGCATTCTTAGCTTTCCTCGGAGCTTTATGTAAAAAGTGGCACCGAGTGCTCAAGTGACCCCAGCATGAGGCCAGCTGAGTTCCCAGTGCCCAACTGGCCAGGCCTCCTACCTTATCCTTGTCAGGAGCTGTTCTGAACAACAGCAAATAGCTATCAATAAAGCTGGGCTTGTGCTCACACTGTTAGACAATGACACTTTAGATCAGTCCTGCTTCCATCTCTAAAGAGAATGGTATTACAGTCAAACTTCAGATTTACTCTTTCTGATGGAAGCTATCTACTCTTGTCTCACAGAAGAAAACAATCACTCCATCATTATCCTTACAGCTACAGACACAGCTATAACCTCAGACTGAAGTCTTGGTTCTCTGTCAGTGTATCTAGGTCAGTGCAACAATCCACTTTTAAAAACATACTTCTCCAGCAGAAGATGTTTGAGATCCATGCTCTGTTAACTAGTTTCACTTTTGGTTTAATTGAATAGAAATCTACTTCCAACAGCTACCTATAACATTCCTGTAAACACTATGGTAAGATTTGATGCTGCGAACACCACATTGTAAGTTTAAATAGTAGAAGTAAGTTATTTTAGCAATCAGACTGCTCTCTCTTTTGTTAAAGGAAAGTAACAAACTATTTGCACATACTACTATTGCCTTTCCATGTTATCTGAAATCCTGCTAAGCACAAGAGCATGGTTTAAAAGTTAATTTCTTCATTGTGTACTACTGGCAGAAAATTCATGTCTATTCCAAAATATCAAAAAGCTTATCTGTGTGTAACAAACACCAGACCCACTCCATTCTATACCCTAAGTCTTCCTTAAGTAGGTGGGAGACCAGTAACAAGCACCAAACCACTCTTTTTTATTCCCTTTTTTCTTTCTTAAAGGGTGAAGTCTTGAACTATATCAGCACAGCCTGTAACCAAGGCCCCTCTGTCCATCCTGAAGACATCTTAGTACAATACACAAAATACTTGCTTTGTTTGGTGCTGGATGCCTTTAATTTAAATTAATGCACAACAACAGTGGCACTTCTGTGGGGTAGGAAAGGATCACACCACTCTATGCTCAGCTAATAAATGATCACCTCAGCAACATGCTACTGCAGCTGCAAATAAACATGAAACCAAACATATAGCGAGCAAGGCATAAAACAAATACAGACATCTCAATAATATGCAGTGCTACATGCTTTCAACATTATAACAGTAAATTAAAAGACAGCATACCTTAGATCCTACTTCTCCTGGACTGAGAGAGAAAAGACAGACTTCACAACACCACAGTGTGATTTAGCTGAATTTTATTTTCAAGCACTCAACTTTAGTGATAGGAGCGACTGCCCACAACACACAGAGTTGCGCTGAAAGGAAGT